CCACCTTCTGGATGTCAGCCCCGTGAAGCTCTGGCTGGCTCTCTCCATCCGCTCCCTGTCCCCAGGGTGCAGGGCCTGCCACACAGCAGGTGTGGGGTGAGCAGGAGCCTCCGGGAGTGGCCTGTCCTGGGGGGCCTGGCAGGGACTCACAGCGTCATGTCTCAGCCGCAGAGGTGTCTTGAGTTGGGTGGCCTCTGCGTCTGCCCTGTACCTCAGCCGGTGGCCCTTGCACTGTGCCTTTGGAATCCGAACCCACTGTGACCACAGGCGCAGGCCCCTCCCCCCCGAGCATCCTGGGGGGGTCAGTACCACACAGACAGCTGTGTGTACGTGTGTGCACACGCAGGGAACCCCCACGCCTGAGCACCCGCTAGGCTGGGTCAGAGAAGGCGCACCTCTCCAGACCCTCTAAGCTCTGAGAAAGACTCTTCCTTTCCCTGGGGGTTCCAGAGAAGCGGGGTATGCGGACCCAGCACAGTGGTTCTGAGCCCGGGGTGACTCTGACCCCCCCAGGGGACATTCGGCAATGTCTGGAGACATGTCTGGTTGTAGGACCCTGGGGCTGAGGGGTCGAGAGAGGGGGAAGTGGTGTTACTGCTGACGTTTGGTAGCAGGCGGCCGGGGACGCTGCTAAGTGTCTCACGATGCACGGGGCAGCCCCCACTGCAAAAATCGTCCGACCCTGAGTGGCAATGGTGGCCAGCCTGGGAAACCCCAGGTAAGGCTTTTTTTTTCTGGCCAGAGTAAACAGGGCTGCTGGCACGGCTTCAGCCCTTGCCAGTCTCTCTAGAGGAGGGGTCCCCCGAGAGTGTGACCCCAAGGGCCGTTCTCAGTGTCATGGCTGCGTAACTCGGCCTCCTTCCCACACTTCCCTTGATGACCACGGACAGTCCTTGTCCCCAGTGGGCGGCTGCCTCTACTGCTCTGGGCCTTTGCTCCGGGTCCACCCGAGGACAGGTGCTGTTTCTGACTCTTTCCCACGCACTGACTAGTCCCCCATGGGCCGAAGGCCGGCCAGCCCAGCTCCTGCCTGGTCTGTGCCACACCTGACGCATCAGCAGGTCTAGAGCGAATAAACCATCACTTCTGAAATCAGGGGCACCACCTCCACTCCTCATACCCGCCCCCATGCACACCCAGCACCCTCTTCACACCCCCCAACCCCTGCCCCTGCTGGACACAAACACAAACACCGCCCCCTCCCGTCCCCTGGTCCCCACCACACACCACACCTCACACCGGCCTACTGAAGCTACTTGGACGGTTGTGCAGTATACATGCAGGGCTTGCACACTGAATGTCCTTGCACTTCAGAATCTAGGAGCTGGGTGACCGTCATTTTCCCAGCCCTAGATTTTTCTCCCTCCTGATCCGGTTCTGAGGCTCCTCCTCCCTTCTCCCGCCTGTCCCCTCCCCCGCTGCCTATTGCCTCATGCTTACTCAGAACCCAGAATTCATCATTCCTTACCCATCTTGGCCACTTTCGGCCACAGACTTTGCGGCGACCCAAGTGCCTGCTTTTGCTGGAGAGGTCAGTGGTCACATGAAATAGCACAAATGTGATTCCCTTTGTTTGGAGAGGGACTGTCATCCCTGCTACGTAATCCCAATCACACACAATTAGCCGACTCAGGCCGGCCCCGGCCACTGGCTGACCGAGCAGACGGTCACCCGAGCTGTGATTTTTGTCATCGCGGAACCTGGAAGCTACTTCAATTTGGGTGCAGAAAACGGAGAAACGTTCTTATACTCACACGTGACCTGAAACCTAAAATAATCCCCCGATCACTTTCAGAACCAAACTAATAACCAACTTGTCCTGCAGTTTCTAGGTTTTTTTTTTTTTAAATGTGTTTTTAAAATGAAATTGTTTTCACTCCCAGGATGTACATCTGAGGAATGAGACACAAGGAAAAATCTCGTGGCACAAAAATGTCCATATTGTAGAGCTCAGAAATGTCTAAGAAAATGTAGCCCTGATGATTACATTTTAAAACTTCTAAGAAAGACACAATTTAGGGGAAACTAAAAAAAACAGCCCCATCCTGAACATATGAAACTAACTCAGGCAAAATAACTCAATCACCCTTTGAGTCAAGATTTGCCGTACGTGGGTCACAGCTTATGGAACTAATATTGAGTAAGGAAGTCAAAATGATTTCTTTCTTCATAAATTGTTTAAGTTTTGTTTATAAACACAGAGATTCCACCGTGAAATATATGGTTTTTTTTTTTAAACTAAGCACACAAAACATGAGGAATGCCTCCAACACAGTGAGCAATTTATCCTTGTTTACTGCATTTATGATCTTCCGGATGTACATGAAGTCTGGAATCATAGGCAAATATAAATAATGTGCTCAAAATGTTTTTCATCTTAAAAATAACCAATAATATCTTTATTTCCGGACTTGATGGACAAATTTACCATCCACGTCGTGTAGACAGTACAGGTGCAAATAGGCACTCAAGTTGAGAAGAAACGTATCTTCCTCTCCCAATAAGGTACCTCATTTGTGTGCATTTTTCGGAGGACAGATCAAAATGTAATGAATATTACTGGAGACACCTTTGTAAAGCGAAGAACCTCTTGGAGAAGTGAATGCATCAGTTTTTGAAGTTAGGGGTCAGCCTGGCTTGGATCTCCTTAAAAAAGCATGAGAGAAAATGATGTAATAGGAACACGGCGGGAGGCAGAGCTGGGACGGTCACGTCCCCCGAGCTGTCCTGCATCAGGGGTGCGGCCATGTGCTTCGCATGATTTACCTCCTTGGAATTGCCTTCCGTCCCGCCTGCCTGGGATAGGACAAATCTTTCAGCACGCAAATCTACTCCAGGCAAGAGCCTTGTTTGACTTGGTTCCTCGGCATGCGTGAAGCAAGCTGTGGTGGGAAGAACCTAGGAAACGGGAAAATGGGACAACCCTGCGTGCTGGTTCCCAGTCTTTCGATTACCAAGGTCTGTGACCCGGTTACGTCCCCCCTGTTGAAGGCCTGTTTCTTTCAGCAGCAGGCAAAACCCTTCTAGGGCTAAAGACGCTGGAATCGTAGTCCTGTCAACTCCATTGATAAGGACGTTTCCCTTTGTTTTAAGGACTCCGACTCACAGAACTCGTCATCTGCAGGTGAGGAAGAAGTGTCAGCCACAAGCTGGACTATCCGGTCCACCGGGAGACCTAGTGGCAGTGACTGAAACAACTTAAAAAAAAAAAAAGGCCCTGGCTGGTGTGCTTCAGTGGATTGAGCACCAGACTGCAAACCATAGGGTCGCTGGTTCAGTTCCCAGTCAGGGCACATGCCTGGGTTGCTGGCCAGGTCTCCAGTAGGGGGCACTTGAGAGGCAATCCCACACTGATGTTTCTCTCCCTGTCCTTCTCCTTGCTCCCTGTCTAAAAAAGCAAGGGGCAATTCCAACCCTCTTACTTAGAACTGAAAAAAGCCAGCTGGAACCAGGACATGATCCCTTCTGTTACGAGGGTGGACCCCACTTACATTCTCATTCTTGGGGGGAACGTGGGTGTCATATTCCTGGGGCATCTCCCTGGTATCTGGCAGGTAGGGAGATGCTGCCGAAGGACTTGTTTGATCAAAGACAAAATTGATCCACCTACTAACTGATGGCGGACCCATCGATCCACCAGAATTGATCATGCATCATCAGACAAATGGGGTAAAGAAAATGCGGTGTCTGTATACAGTGGACTACTGCTCGGTTATACGGCAGAAGGGAATCTTACCATTTGCGACAACATGGGTGGATCTAGAGAGCATGATGCTAAGGGAAGTAGACAGAGAAAGACAAATGCCGTATGACTTTACTGGCCTGCACAATCTAAAAAACAAAGTAGATGAACAACAAAACAGAAACTCACAGACACAGACAATAAACGGATGATCACCAGATGGGAAGAGGTTGGGGGGATGGGTAAAAAAAACTGAAGAGATTAAGAATTACAAATTGCCAGTTTAAAAACATGCCTTGGCAGGTGTGGCTCAGGGGATTGAGCGCCGGCCTGCGAACCAAAGGGTCACTGGTTCGATTCCCAGTCAGGGCACATGCCTGGGTTGCGGGCCAGGTCCCCAGTTAGGAGGCGTGTGAGAGGCAACCACACGCTGATGTTTCTCGCCCTCTCTTTCTGCCTCCCTTCCCCTCTCTAACAGTAAATAAATAAAACCTTAAAAATATAAAGAGATAAAAACAGTCACGGGGATGTACACACAGCACAGGGAACATGGTCGGTGTAACCATAACAACTGTGTGGTGTCAGGTGGGCACCAGACTTATCGGGGGTTGCTTCGTACGGCACAGAAATGTCTGATCGTTCATACCTTATAAACCTTAATATTGTACACCCACTGTCCTCGGAAAGTAAATTGAAAAGATTACAACCTGCAGACTAGATTGTACAACATGCTAGATGCTCAAATCTGGAGGAAAGGTTGTAACCTGGAAGTCCCCCACGCCCAGAAAAGGATACATTCATTAAACTAATAAATCAAGATCTGACCCCTCGGGGCTTTGACTCGAGCTGAGGCATCGTGTCGAGCCGTTTTACAGTTCGGACGTATGTTTGTCTGTGTTTTAAACTTGACTCCCTTTCTCGCCACCTGTTCGACACATGTCCTTTCCAGTCCAAAAGGCTGGAGCCTTGGGTTCATCTGAACAGATGCAAATCCCACTGGCCACACGGCCTAGTTTATAGCAACCTCTGGTGTGTGCATGCACGCGTGTGCATGAGTGCACGCGTGTGTGTATGTGTCCTGTCCGTGCCGCCACCTGCGTGTCAGGTGCCTCTGTGTCCCTCTGTGTCCGCGGATGTGTCTCTCTCGCCAGCGGGGAGCGGACCTGCCTCTCCACAGCTTGCACATTCTGAAAGCCTCGGCCACATCCTCTCCAGCAGCTGAATCAATATTTTAATGAAAAATTAAAAAGAAAACGAGTACAGTACTTGGACACCAAAGGTTGCTGACCAAGAGCAGAAACATAAAGGATGGCACATCACCTAGAAGAGAGACCGGAGAATTGACCTCCCATCCATCTCTTTTATTCCCGTGCTCATTTTACAGCCAACATACTCTCCTTCAGCCCGTGATTGCTTATTTTAAATTGTCTCCCAGTCGCGGGGCCCTGTCTCCCCGGTCTCCCCCCACCCCCACCCGCCCCTGGCCTCCCAAATGATAGAGTCTGTGCCGTCAGCTGCTGTAGCGGAGGAGGGTCCGGACTGGCTGCTCGTGTTCGGCCAGCCCTGGGGAGAGGAGATGAGGAGAGGGGACAGTGTCTTCCTCCTGGAAGACAATCTGACGGCAAAGGGACCTCCATGACCCCTCCCCGCGGGTCCCTGGCTCTGCAGATGAGCCGCGCGAAACACCGCAGCGGCCGGGTTGTCGACGCATGCGCACACAGCAGTGATCCGGGGCCGAAGCGCCCATGGATCTCGGGCCCCGAAGCCTGACCTTAGCCCACGCTCGCCCCCTCCGTGCCGAGTCCCTGTTAACTGCAGACCACATTTCCATCGTCACAGCTTGGAAAGCGACCTCTGGTTCTGCCGGGTTATGTCTCTTCCCCAGCACCGACCGGGGAAGGATTTTTGTGTGACCTTTTAAATCCCCGAAACACAAGTCGATGCGTTTCCAAGTTAAACAGCTCTTCCATTCACAGCAAACCCCAGGACGAGTGTGGGCGGAAGACGAGAAGCAGCGAACATGCCCCGTGTTCTGCGTGTGCCCGTGGCATTCGGACTGTCTGCAGGGAAGCATCGTGACCGTCTGTCTCCACGCCAGCTGTCTCCACGAAGGTCACGTCCCCAAGAGGGAAACCTGGGATGAAAGAGACGAGCATGGTTCTCACCAGAAGGGACGGGGGAGCTTTCAGGGACTTTGCTTGCTGAACCGGAATTCCTCAACAAGCTCACCCATCGCCAGAGCCGCAGGGAAGTAACATCCCGGATCGGGGAGAGGTACAGAGGAGAGGATGCCAAATTTAGCCAAATTTAACTAAGTACTCATCAGAATGCGTCGTCATCCAAGTCCCCTTTGGAATTTAGAAACTATTTCTGTATCCGCTGAATCACTTCTCTGCCTGAGGAACTGTTCTCTCCCGAGCCCGACCAGTCGCCGGGGACGATGCAGTCACGTGGTCTCCGGGCCTCCCAGCGCTCATGGGCGTGTGGTCCCAACGGGGACCAACTCCAGAACCATCCCATTCATCCTGGGAGCTTCACTTAAAAAATTATCATCTCCCTGGCTGGCGTAGCTCAGTGGATTGAGCTCGGGCTGCAAACCGAAGTGTCACAGGTTCGATTCCCAGTCAGGGTACATGCCTGGGTTGCAGGCCGTGACCCCCAGCAACCGCACATTGATGTTTCTCTCTCTTTCTCACTCCCTTCCCTCTCTAAAAAATAAATAAGTAAATAAATAAATAAATAAAATCTTAAAAAAAATAAAAATTATCATCTCTACATTCAAATTATTATTATTTAAAAATTTCGAACGCAGTTAAAAAAAAAAAAACAACCAGAAAGTCATTCCAGATTCCACTAACTGGAGTTCTGACTATGCCAACACAGGATTCCAGGGCAAAGTCCTGCCCTTGAATGGCGGAATGCTCATTTGAATTTTAAGTGGATGTTGAATATTAACCCCGACACTGTCCTGGATGGCAGGTTTCTCAATCTCAGCACTATTGACGTTGTGGCCGGAGAGTTCTTTGTCGTGGGGGGCCGTCCCGTGGGCCGCACGCAGGACGTGTTACAGCAACTCTGGCCTCGACCCAAACAAAATTGTCTCCTGACAGAGCTGAGCGTCTCCTGGGGCCCAAATCATCCCCAGCTGAGAACCACGGTTCCTCTTAAGGGGAAAAGCCATTTAGTAGATGTTTCTATTGCACTTAAAAAAAAAAAAAACAGAAAGCACAAAGTTAAAGCGCTTTTCTGGGCTGTCGAGTAAAAGAAATAAAGAAAATAAATTATGTATTTCCATCCATTGAGTGGAATAGTAAACAACCATTAAAATATGGTTTTAAAGATACTTTATAGGCAGGAGAAAATGCTCATCTCATAATGGGAAACTGAAATAAATGAAGACACATGCCTTTCAAAATATTCTCAAGAGAAAAACACAAAAATAAAACCATTGGTATCTATGGGTGGTAGGATGATGCAGTATGTGTTGTATTATTTAAATACTTCTCTTTTCCTAAACTGCCTACCATGACCACATAGTCTTTATAATTTTAGAGGAGACACGGGAAAAGGACAAGACTCTTGCCTCACAGAGCACACACACACAAAGCTGCACACACTGTGCCCCGTCTACTCCTAACCGGACTCCCCCCACAGCCTGAAGGAAGCGTGGCTACTCCTGTTCCACTCACCTGACCCTCCCAGCTCATTAGACCCTCTGCCAGGACCCAGAGACCCCGTGGCAGCCCTCCTCCTGACCCCGCCTCGTGCTGTGGGGTCCCTTCTCTGAGGCGTTCATCTCTTTACCTTGAAGGTCTCTGCGTTCTGTCATCCCACCCCAACTCTCCTTCACCGAAGCAAGGAGAGGATGGGAAGTTGCCTCCACCCCTAACCCAATGTACTTCTGCCTCTCAGCCTCCTGTGTCTCGCCTGCAAAAGGAGCTGATTGGACCACGTCTTGGGAGAGACGTCAAACGCAGATGGCGGCTGGCGGGCTGGTGGACGGGGGGCAGGTGGTTCGGGCGAGAATGCCCGTGGACGCTGGTCGGTTCCATCCGAAGGGGACGGCCACGCCCTCGTGCCCGCCCGTTGTTGACATGTGAGAAGGCAAGAGCCTTAGATCCTCCAACATTAAAAAAAAAAAAACACAAAACCCAGGAAATGGGAAATTCGAACTTTTATATGAGATCTCCTGACTTTCGAAGGTTGGCAGCGCTTTCACATTCGCTCACTATGCCTGGTGAGCCCAGTGAAACACGTGGGCCGGCCGAGCCTGGCCCGGGAGCCCCGACCCGGTGACCGCAGGCCTCCAGGAGTCTCTCTCAGCTCTGAGAGCCACGGCTTTCCTGGGGCCTTAAATCTGCTCGAAAACACCCGAAGCTCCTCTCCCACCCTTTCTTTTCCCCTCCGGTCCTCTTCGCAGCCCACCCCAGTGACCGTGGCAGCCTCCTCCCAACCCTCGGTCTCTGCCCACCTGGCCCTTCTTTTGGACATCGGGCCTTTGGGAGTACAACTCACGTAGGAAGCGGTCATGGGAGTGGGCCCTAACTCACTAGGACGAGTGGCCCTGAGGGGAGAGAGGAGACAGAGGCAGGCGCGCAGAGGGAAGACGACGTGAAGACACACAAGAAGAACGCCGGGGGGTAACAGAGGAAGAGCTTGCAGGGACGTGTCCGCAAGCCAAGGGCTGCCGGTCGCGTCGGAGACCGAGAGAGAGACGTGGGCAGACCCTCCCCTGGAGCTGCCGGAGGGGCCGGGGCTCCACCCACAAGACTTCCACAAGAGGACGTGTTTTCTCCCGTGTGGCAGCAGCCCTAGGACCTAAGGCTCCGGCCGGATCAGCAGCCCCATCCGCCTCGTCCTTCTGTCCTGCCCCATGGCTCGTCCAGACCGTGAAAACCTGACCCTCCTCTCGGATTTCCTAAATTCCCTAACATTTTAATGATTTCTCTAAACACGTCTTGATTTTCCAAAGATTTTCCAGTCTAGCTTTGCGTGCATTAAGAAAACGTGAATCTCATCGATCTTCTTCGCGGGGAGACAAAAACAGACCCGCAGCTCTTGTCTGCAAACTATTTCTTCTCTGCGATGATCCAGACGCAACATTCCCCCCGCCACAAAGGACCCTGTGGCTCGCCGTCTGTGAAAGGCACAGGAAAAACAGGTGATTCGTTTTCCCACGAGAGAGGGGAAGCGGACGGGGATAGAGCCCCCGACATCGCACAGTGGCTGGATCACTCTCGCCGTGGAAACGATACAACAATAATTTGATCTCTCAGCATTGGCACGGTCTTCACAGAGCAGATAAGCATTGTCAAGGGCAGGACGTGACCAGGGCTCGCTGAAGGAAGGTACTGGAATGAGTGTGTGGACTCTCCATGAGTGCGGGTCCCTGCTAGTTCCGTCCACACTGCACGCTGAGCATGAAGGCCCCTGGATTCTGGAAGGTTCTTCTGTGGGGAGGAGGTGCTGGGAGAGCAGATCTCTTGCCTGGGAATCCGGGAGGATCCTGCCTCTCTGGAGACCTAGCCACTGCGTAGGGAACAAGGGACAGGACTGTCATTCGGGAGTTTAGTTACAGAGAGCCTGGCTGTGCCCAGTCTTCCCAAGGTCGCAAAGACTTTCTCAGAAAGACAGGGGACAGGGTAAAAGTCTACCACGCTGGTTAAGAGCTGAGCACCGCGGCTCCAGAGCCTGGTCACCATGGGTGTGTCCTCAGGCACCTCCTTTAACCTTTCTGTCCCTTAGTTTCCTTAGCCATAAAATAGGTGCAGCGGCAGCACCCACCTCATGGGGGCGCTACAGGGATTGACTGAGTTAATGCTGGCCAAGCATCTGGAACGTCGTCTGACACAGTGTCATGGATCATCGCATCTGCTTGAAGTGGTTAGCTGTGGCTCCAGGGGCGCTAAATAAGGAATCATCTGCAAGCTCAGCCCCTTCAAGCGACGCCCACCTATTCCCCTAGGTCCGTGGGTGCGCTCTGCTCAGTGGGGCTCAGGCGTCTGCCGCTGGCTAGGGCCTGGCTGGGGCTTGGCTGATCTCAGCTGGCTGTGGCTCTGGTGACTGTGTTCCTTGTGGCTGTTATTCCTTTCTTGAGACCAGTGGCATGGTCTCGTGGTGATGAGAGAAAGCACAAGGGCGCAAGTAGAAACAAGCAGGCATCTTGAGGCCAGGGCATGAGGCTGGCACACCAGGGAACCTGCCTCCTGCTATTGGCCAAAGCAAGTCACGTGCTCATACCCCAAGGGGCAGGAAGTACACGCTGCCCCCGGGGCAGCTGCTTGTTACCAGGCAAAGACGATGGAGAGGAAAGGGCTGAAGGACTGACTGCGATGACGTGAGCCGCCATCGTCACTCTTAGTGTAATTCGCATCAGCAGTATTGGACGCGAATGCAGGGGGAGACCCTCTCTCTCTCCTGACCTTCGGCTGACCTTGGGGCAGGCACTTCTGCCCCCAGATTGAGAGGAATAACTCTCAATAACTCAGACCCTGCCCTCACACTAACTTCTGTCCATCCAAAGACGTTCCTTCCTGGCTCCCCTGGCTCTGGAGGTTTGGGTGGAAATGCGTGTGTGCACCTGTGCGTGTTAGTTAGACTCTGATCTCTGTTCAAGTCCGCAGACGACCCCGCCATCTGAGCGGGGTGTCGCACAGGGCCCTTCCAGGGGCAACTGATCACCAGGGACCACATACTCTTAGGCTATGGTGAGCCCCATCGTGAGCCCGGTGACTGAGGGTGCTTAGAAATGGCAGGATTTGGGAGGGAGGCTAACTTAGTTAGCTAAGAGCTGGGGCTCGATTACCCATGGGGGGAAGCTCTTAAAGGGAAAGCGCAGCTTGGCCCAGTCATTAAACTTTCCTACTCAGGTTTTGTTTTTGTGTGTTTAAGGAGAAACCCCCTCTACGGCAAAATGCTATTCAAATCCTCCAGGTGCAAGCAGTGCAGGGGAGCCCCCTCCCTAGTCTGTCTTTCCTTGCCGCTAGTCTGTCTTTCCTCGCCGAAGCAGCGACTGCATCCTGGGTGGACGGTTGCGGAGTGAACGGGAACTCTGTGTGGTGTGTGTTCGCCGCCGCCGCGTTCCCCGCTCCCAGACCTGCCTGCCAGCCCCTCTGCAAAGCCCCTGCGTTTGTGATTTCAGCTGAGGAACAGCGGGAGACACATCCTTTTCAGGGCCTTTGTCAGTGGCTTTCAGACTTTTTGGTGGCAACTCGTGCTGAGAAGTACATTTATCATTGTGGCCTGGTGTGCAACAGGTGTGTGTGTGCGTACACACGCATACAGCTGTAACAAGAACCTCAGAAGGCACCGTTGACCATTACTACAGAGTGTGAGGGCCTCTGATAGGTTCTGTTCTGTCCCATTGAAAGAGTTGTGCCGGGCATGTCCTCCCAGACTGGTTTCCTAACACGCTGACAGGCCCCAGCCCAGCGTCTGGAAAGCTCTGGGCCAGGCCCAAAGGGCTCGTTGGCAAGTGGGGGGGCGGCGGCGAAGGGGCCAGGAAACAAAACTCTGTAAGACCCACAGACCTCAGACTTGCCTAGAGCGAAGCACGATGGGTTAGGAGAAAAGCAAGAAAGGACGTAGCTCCGGGGAAAATCGGGATGTGTCCGTGCTGCTCTGCTGTGGGGCGCATCCCCGAATAGACAC